CTGGTCACGGGCGCATACCTCCGTTGCAACTGACTAAAAATCAATGGAAAAATATCTTCTGGTGAGAATTGACATAAAATAGAGAGAAAGAGAAAACTACAACTGAACATTTAGTAAGTTGTCACAGAGAAAGAGTATGGAATCTAAGTCTGTGCTCTGAATCACTGTGCATGAAGCTTCTCATTAAGATTTTGGCATTAGTCAGAGTTCTAGACTTTATCCCTTTCTTCTCAAGGTCAAATCTTTGTGTTTGCAATGTTTTTTTTATATATATATATATATTTTATTGATTTTGTACAGAGAGGAAGGGAGAGAGATAGAGAGTTAGAAACATCGATGAGAGAGTCATCGATCAGCTGCCTCTTGCACACCCCCTACTGGGGATATGCCCGCAACCAAGGTACATGCCCTTGACCGGAATTGAACCCCGCACCCTTCAGTCCCCAAGCCGACGCTCTATCCACTGAGCCAAACCGGTTTCAGCGTGTTTGCAATGTTTTTAACCTTCTCTTACAGGTTTGTGTTCCTTACAGTGTTTTTATTCTTGGTGATTTCTATTTACTTTTAATCCTCACCCAAGGATATTTTTTTTTCCATTGCTTTTTAGAGAGAGTGGAAGGGTGGGAGGGAGAAGGAGGGAAAGAAAGAGAGAAACATTGATGCGAGAGAGACATATGGATTGGCTGCCTTCCACAAGCACCCTGATCAGGGCTGGGGACTGAACCTCCAACTCAGGTATCTTCCCTTGACCGGAAATCGAACCCAAGACTCTTCTTTTAGATCCTCACCTGAGGATATTTTAAAAATTGAATTTAGAGAGCGGGAGAGGGAGAGGGAGAAAGAGGGGAGAGAAACATCGACCAGTTGCCTCCCATGTGCGCTCTAACCCAAGATGGACCCTGAAACCTGGGGATGTGCCCTGATCAGGAATAGATCCCACCACTGTTTAGTGTGTGGAACAATGCTCCAACCCACTGTGCCACCTGATCATGGCAGGGGTACATGATTTTTGCTGTCTCATTACTGACATCACTTGAGCACTTGATTAACATGGTATTTGCCAGACTTCATTATAAAGCTATCGATACTCTAATTTTCTATGGGGTGATACTTTGAAACTACGTAAATCTTCCCATTCTTTTCAAACTTTTATGTTTATTTACCTTTGTATGATTTCCTATATTATTCAATGGGTTATATAGGCACCAGTGTGCCTATATCCGGAATCTGTTGGGAGGATTATAGGAGCTCCAGAAAAGAAGAGACCTCTTAGGTAGGAGGTCCGGGAAGCATGTTCCTGGGTTCAAGGCATAGTATTGGAGAAAAGACTCCAGTTCGTCCCAGATTTGGCCAGTGGAACACAAGTTGGCATGTGTTTTTTTTAAAACATTTTTATTGATTTCAGAGAGGAAGGGAGAGGAGAGATAGAAAAACATCAATGATGAGAATCATTGATCAGCTGCCCCCTGTATGATCCACACTAGGGCTCGAACCCGCAACCCCAGCTTGTGCCCTGACAGGTTCATAGGCTGTCACCTGCTGGTTCATAGGCTGACACTGAGCCACATAGGCCTGGTGGCCTGTGTCCTTTTGACATGCCTCATTATTCTTTGAGCATGTCCTCTCTTTCTTCCGTAACTAGAGGCTCCAGGCTCAGCCTGTACTTTCTCTTCTCTAGTTCTGGAATCAACCATTTTGCCAAGAAGAAAAAAAAGAAGAGGAGAATGATATTTAGAAACCAAGATCTATGTAGATGTACTCATTGTTTTTTGTCATTAATTTCAGACCTTCTCAGTGGACAGAGCATGATGTACTTATTCACCTATATCAATTTCTATAAATAGAAATAGATTGATACCTCCATTGCCAATTCACCACCAGAAGGTTCATTCCAGTTTATTATTCCGTAATTGTAACTCTCTTCTTCAACTGTGAGAAATCTGACTCTCATTTCCTTAGTATAGTAGTCCCCTCTTATCTGAGGGGGATATGTTACAAGATATCCTAAAATCACAATTAGTACTGGACTATATATATATATATATATATATATATATATTATTCCCCCCTATACATACATATCTATACTAACAAAAGGGTAATATGCTAATTAGTCCGGATAGACTGGGCATCTCCTGGACAAAGCCATGATGGCAGGGGCCGAGGCAGAGGTGGTTAGTGACAATCAAGCAGGCAGGCAGAGGGGTTAGGATGATCAGGCTGACAGACAGGTAAGCGGTTAGGAGCCAGAGGTCCCAGATTGCGAGAGGGATGTCCCAGAGGGATGGGACCTCAACCAGCCGGCCAGACATTCCCCAAGGGGTCCTAGATTGGAGAGGGTACAAGCCGGGCTGAGGGACCCTCTCCTGTGCAAAGATTTCATGCATTAGGCCTCTAGTCTATTATAAAGTTTATGTTCCTTTTAGCATATCCAAATTTCCAGCATCACTACACTTGATTTTTTAATAATATATTTTTTAATTGATTTCAGAGAGGATGGGGGCGGGAGAAGGATGTGATGGGAAAAAAGAAACATCAATGATTAAAGAGAATCATTGGTGGACTGCCTCCTGCATGACCCCCACTGGGAATCATGTACCCTGACAGGAATCTAACCATGACATCCTGGTTCATAGGTCATGCTCAACCACTGAGCCATGCACGCTGGGCACCTACAATGTACTTTTATTTTATTTATTTATTTTTAATATATTTTATTGATTTTGTACAGAGAGGAAGGGAGAGAGATAGTTAGAAACATCGATGAGAGAGAGAGTCATTGATCAGCTGCCTCTTGCACACCCCCTACTGGGGATGTGCCCGCAACCAAGGTACATGCCCTTGACTGGAATTGAACCCGGGGCCCTTCAGTCCCCAAGCCGACGCTCTATCCATTGAGCCAAACCGGTCTTGGCCCTACAATGTACTTTTAAAAAATACATGGTGTCTCTCTCTCTCTTTTCTTTTAAAATATATATTTTATTGATTTTTTTTTTCACAGAGAGGAAGGGAGAGGGATAGAGAGCTAGAAACATCAATGAGAGAGGTACATCGACCAGCTGCCTCCTGCACAACCCTCACCGGGGATGTGCCCGCAACCAATGTACATGCCCTTGACTGGAATCAAACTTAGGACCTTTCGATCCACAGACTGACGCTCTATCCACGGAGCCAAACTGGTTTCTGCTACATGGTCTCTTTTGCTTGTTATAAAACCTCTGTGACGTAGTTATGGAAGGTATTATTATCCATAATTTTTCTCTGAATAAGTCATCAAGGACCTAGGTTCAAGAGAAATGGAGTGACTTGTCCAAGGTCGCACAGCTTATAGAAAGCAAGCTCTTTCCACTCCATCAATCCTCTATGCCTCTCAACAAATGCCAAAAATTACTTTCCTTTTTTCTCCAGTAGAAATGTTTCAAATTCACTGACTTTGTAGTCAACTCTGATATCCTGAAAAATATGTGCCAAGGAGTGGTGTGGCAGAAAAAAGGATTGGACACAGAAGAAACTTAACCTTCACCTTCAGCTCAGATCAGAGACTTCAGGCAAGTTACAAGTTACTACTCACTGTCCTCGATTATAAAAATGTTAGACCAGCGATTCTTTGCCTGAGGCGGCTGAGATAAGAGCCGTGGGACTTTTCCCAGTGATAGAAATGCCCGTGAAATTCAGGTACAATTACTTGATTCAATGACTCTTAACACCACTTCCAATTGGCATACTTATGATTCCAAAGCAACCTCTCCCCGTTCTTTTTTTTTTTTTTAATATATTTTATTGATTTTTTACAGAGGAAGAAAGAGAGGAGCTAGAAACGTCGATGAGAAACATTGACCAGCTGCCTCTTGCACACCCCCTACTGGGGATGTGCCCGCAACCAAGGTACATGCCCCTGACCGGAATCGAACCTGGGACCTTTCAGTCCACAGACCTACGCTCTATCCACTGAGCCAAACCGGTTTCGGCAACCTCTCCCCATTCTTATCAATCTCTGTTTTTATGCTTATCAATCTCATCCTCCATTCAAAAATATTTATCAATGGCCATTATATGCCAAGTATATATTACCTGGGTTTTGCAGGACCCCCTTTCCGAGGTGTCACCGCCATTTAGAATTCTATCCCCTATATTCCAAACGTGGGACTGAGCGCATTCGCATCTACATCACGTCACTGACAAACTCGCGGGGTTCCTCCACCAACCGCATCTCAATGAGGCTGCCCCTCTGGGCTCACAGACTTTAACGCACTCTCTCGGGAACAACCGCCTTCACCCAACAGGCTCCATCGACACTTCCACGTCCTGGCTGGTCGGTGGGGATTCGGGCGGGTGGCTTTCCAAGTTTGGATGGGCCCCCAGTGCGTTCCTGCACCCAGCGGGGCACAACCAGCTCTGAGTACTCCTAGCCCTGGGCTCGGCCCGCAGAGGCGGCGGGGCGGCTGCTCATGGACGGAAGAGTCTCCCGCGTCCGGAGGGGGCCCTGGCGGGGGCTCTAACCGCCCCGGTTCCCCTCCTCCGAGCACCGCACGGCGCGTGCCGCTGTCCCGGCGCAGGAACTTCCCGGCCTCGCTCCCGCTCCGCGCGCCGACTCGGGCTCCGCACGCGCCCGCTGCCCTCCGGGGCCACGCGCCCCACGCCGCCGCGCGTGTCTTCGAGATCCTCGGCCTTCCTCCCCGCCCGCCCCTCCCGCCCCGCGTGCCCTTCAGCCGATCCCTGCGCCCCGCCGGCGGCGCGGGGGAGCGGAGCGCGCAGGCGGTCGGACGACGTGCGCGAGACGCACGGCCCCGCGGGGAGCGCCGGAAGGAGCCGCCGGGCCTCGCGCGCCGTGCGCGCGCCCTCCCCTCCCGCGCGCGCGCGCGCACTGAGCGCCGCCGCCGTCGCCGCCGCCTCCCCGGCTGCTGCTCCGGCTGCTGCAGGAGGCGGCGCTGGCTGGCTGGCGGCGGCGCTCGCTCCAGTCGGCGAGCGGAGCCGCGAGCGAGCGTGTGTGTGTTTTAAAGATGGCCGGAGCGGTGGCGGCGGTGGCCGCGGGAGCAGCAGCAGCGGGAGCCGCCGCGGCAGCCGTGTCGGTGGCGGCTCCGGGCCGGGCCTCGGCGCCCCCGCCGCCCCCGCCGGTGTACTGTGTGTGCCGGCAGCCGTACGACGTGAACCGCTTCATGATCGAGTGCGATATCTGCAAGGACTGGTTCCACGGCAGGTAAATAAACCCCGTCCGGCCCCGCCGCGGCCGCCGCCGGGCACCGGCCCCCCGCTGCCGCCGCGCCGCCCGCATCCCCTTCCGCCCGGCCGCCGCGCCGCGCGCCCCGCGGTCCGGGCACCGAGCCCCCCCGGCCCCGGCCGGGCAAGCGGGACGCGCGGGGCCCCGGGCTGCCCGGGCGCCGAGCGGGCTGAGCGGGGCCGGTGGGATCGCCCGGCCAAGGCGAAGAGTCGCCACAACAAACGGGAACAAAGGGGGCCGGCCGCGAAGTTGGCAGGGGGAGCCGGGGCGAGGGGACGCGGCCGGGGCAGGCGCCGGCGCAGGTGGCGGGCGGAGCGCCGGCCGGGCCCGCCGCCCCTCGCGGCGCCCGCAGCCCGGCCGCCGCCCCGCCCGCCCGGGACTCCGGGTCCCGGAGTCGTCGCCCGCCTGCCCGCCCCCCCGGGCCGCCTTGCCCCGCCGGCCGCCGCGCCTTCCTTCTCGGTGGGGACCTGGTCTCCACAAACCGCCCCGATCCCTCCCCCGGCGGGTCCCCGTCGCGCCCCCTTCCCCGGGTTTTTATCAAACTTCCCTCCCGGGCCGGGGCGCTGGGCCGGGGGCGTCGGCAGCGTCTGCCTGGCGGGGCTGGCGGAGTCAAAACAGCAACAGATGAGCCGCTGTTGGGACTCAGATGCCAGTCGGAAGTTTGGGGTCGAGGGTCCCGGGCCCCCGGGGCGGCAGGTCGGCTGGGACGGTGCCCCCCACCCAGCGCCCCAGTGCACCCCGTCCCGGCGGGGGCGGAGCGGATGGAGTGGGCGGTGGGGCCCGAGGAGACCGTCTCTCGTCGCCCCCGCGCCGCAGCTCAAACTTTTTACAAAGAGTGAAATTTCCCGTACCCCGAGGGGCTGGCGACACCCCGCCGGCGCCCGCGGGCCTGGCGCGGGCGAACTTTGGCCGGCCGCGGGCGCCGGGGCTCGGGCGGCGGGGCGGCCGCCCGCGCCCGGGGTTTGACGTTTGCGAGGAGGGCTCGGGCCGCCGCCTCCGCCGCCGCCAGGCCGCCGGCTCGTGTGTTTTGTAATCAAAGTGTGAGGCTCCTAAAGGGCGGCGCCACAGCCTCTTGACTCCGGCGTGGGAGGGACTCGCAGGCATTTAAACAAAGAAACTAGTTGGGGTTGGGCTCCCAAAGTCCTTATTTGGGTGTTGTGGGGAAGCCTGCGGTCACCCTTGGGTGAAGCAGGTTTCCCCCACCCCGAGCGCCGTTTGGTGTGGAATCTTGGCGAGAGCTCGCTCGCTCACGGGCAGCAGCCGATATGGGGGACTGTGATTGTAGGAAGTGTCCTTTGATTGACAGCAGGACATTTAAATACAGCCTCCGCCGCTCCCCCGTCCCCTCCCCTCCCCAATATTACAGAAACACTGCGCGACCAGGCCAGATGTCTTAGTCTCCCTCTACTGGCCCCGGGAGAGAAAGCCACTTACATTACAGCGTTCGTTTAGGTGCTGGGTGCTGGATACAGTTCGTTAATTTCCAAGTACCGTTAGTTTTGTGTAGTCAGTTTTCAGTTTGCACAGCTCTGACAGCAGTACCAGAGGAAAATGCCACATATTGTCACTGTATCAGATAGTCTTTAACAATCTTGTCTATGCTTGGGGAATATTACTACAACCTTGCCACATGTAACTAAGAATAAATTATCCAAAGTTCTTTTTCATTACTGTACACTGATATTTTTCTATATTTAGATTATACATAAAACTGAAATATGAACATACCAAATCTTGCCAATTCTATTTCTACATCCTCTGTTCTCATAACAGATCTGGCAACCAGAGTAGAGATTATCCAAAAATCTAGGTGACACATAGAATAAAACCAGAATCCCTGGTGATTATGTAAATACTTATTTTTCAAAGATCTATTTTAGCTGTATAAGATATTTGTTCTATTGTGCAATTTAAAGGTTTGATAGGTTAATGCATTTTAGACCAGAATTTTATTTCTCTTAATTTGGGTAACAACACTATAATCATAAAAAACAGGAAGTTGTGGAGAATTTTGTAATGCGTTTAAGTGTACATTTGAAAACAGGAGAAGTTGAAGGGAAAATAAAGAGGGCACATGTGAAGAAGAGAAAACAAGGCCAAAACATAAATTTGTCACATAAATTTGTGTGACTTCATATTTGTGAAAGTGATTCTGAAATATATACACACTTTAATAGCTGATATCTTAATATTTGAAAATGAAATGCATTTTAATAAACACTGCCTTTATAATTACTCAAAGTGTGTGTATACATTTTTTTGGAGTGGGAGATGCACTATATTTTGAACCCAGGTTATTTTTTATTTTTTACCTTTTGACCAGCAGTTCTTGAGCATTTACTGTGGTTCAGATATCAGAAATTAAAAAACTTAGTGATACTTCTCCACCATGTAAAAGTAGTACCTTAGTACCAAGTTTAATTCTTAATGAAGTATTGATAATTTGAGGTTTATATATTTTTCCTATGATTAATATTTACTTTAATGTTTATAGTATCATGAAATGAGTGATTGTTGTTTTGAACACAGCAAAATGTTCCTTACGTATTAAATATTAAACTAATATCACTTGCTTATGTGAGAATTGGCCCCTGAGGTACTGAGGTGTAGCTTTCCTTTCCATGCTCAGCTTTCCTAGGGTAGTTTGTTTACAGAAGAGGAAAAGAGAGGACACGGGTTGTACAGAGGATTGCCTTTGCCTGGATAATTTCCTTTTTTTTTTTTTTTTTTTTTTAATCCTCACCCAAGGATATTTTTTCCATTGATTTTTAGAGAGAGTGTAAGGGAGCGAGGAGGGGAAGGGGAGAGAGAGACATTGATGTGAGAGAGACAGATGTATTGGTTGCCTCCTGCACGCCCTGACCAGACTGAGGCTGGGGATTGTACTGGCAACCGTAAGTGCCCTTGATTGGAAATTGAGCCTGAGATCCTTTGATCCTTAGGCTGATGCTCTAACCATTGAGAAACTGGACTGGGCCAGCTGGATAATTAATTTCTTAGTAATTTTATTATTCAAGTAAAATTTTTTAACCTCAGTGAATTTTTATGTAAATTTTGGTTTAATCTGCCCGGGGTTTCTGACATCTGGAAAGTTTTTGCTCTAATTTATTCTGACAGGGAAGGAGTATCCTGCCTTAATGCTTTTTAGGCAGGTAGTAGGGTGGATGGAACCAGCCTTCTCCAGGTTGAACTTTGTATCCTTGGTATTTAGGAATTCCCATCCCTCAGTGTACCTAAGCCTTTTTTTTTTTTTTTTCCTTAAGTGAGGGGAAGGGGAAAACACTTGCCGGACACGATGTATAATTGATACCAGTGGGGCCATGAGCTGAGGAATCAACAGGATTTTCCTGGGACGGTTCCTTCTGAGGTGGGGATGGACTTTTCCCTCTTTGAGTCCTTGGAAGTAAGATGAGCTTTCCTGTAATGCCCTCTCCCCCCAGTCTTTCCATAGCACACTTATGTCATCCTATGTAAAACTGCATCAGTGTCCTAAGTTTAATGTTTCTCTCTCTCTATTAGACTGAAAATACCTTTGTTTGTTAGACTTTTTAGCAATATATTCATTTTGATTGGCAAAAGTAATATATTATAGAAAAATGGGAAGTATAGAAAAGTATCAAGAATATGAAAGTACTCATGTCTCCCAGAGATTGCCACTATTTTAACATTTAAGGTGTATGTATGTATTGAAAACAACCTGGAATTCATTTTATGCATTTCACTGTTATCTAACCTTTTTCATTAATATATAATTTTTTTTCCTGTATCTTTAAAGTTTTTTTTTAAAACATTTTCAGTAGCTGTATAGTTTTTAATATATTTTAAAACCATTCCCCTCTTAGTTTTTTTTTTGTGTCTTGTTTACTACTTTTTCTTGTATTTCCTAATGAAGATGAATGGTTGACATAATTCTAAATAAACCATTATATCTCTAATTATTTCCTTAGGATAAATCAAATGAGTTAATACACGTAAAACACTAAAAAGAAGTGACATGTGCAAGTACTCATTAAGAAATTCCTTGAAGTAGAATTAGTAGGCTTTTTAGGCTTTTTGTGCCTACAGCCAGATTGTCTTCTAGAAAGGCTATTCCAATTTATACTTTTACCAAGTGTCCACTTCTAGTTCCCTGCATCCTTTCCATCTAAAGTATTATTAACCCTGTCACCTCAAAACCAAGCCAAGCAAAAACTTTGTCAATCTGCAAATGAGTATTCCCACCTAAAATAAGTACCCAAGATTATTTGTGGCAGCACTATTTATAATGTCCTCAAAATGTAATGACCTAAATGACATTAATAGTAGATCGGATAATTTTGTTGTACTTATAAAATGAAATTCTCATCAGTGATTAAAAAAAAAAAAAAGCACTACCGATGCATACAACATGGGTGAATATCACAGATAAAAAGTTGAATAAAAGAAACTAGACACAAAAGTGTGTACTCTTTGATTCTGCTTATATGAAGTTCAAGTACAGACATAATTAGATGAGAGAAGTCAGACTATTGCTTACCTCTGGGGGGCATGATTGAGAGAAGGCCCGAGGGGCTTCTGAGGTTCAGCAAATGTTCTCTATCTTGATCTTGTGTGGTGCTTACGTGACTGATTCAGCTGTAAAAATTCACTGAGCTGTATGTTCAATGAAGATTTTTTAAACTTTAAGTGTATTTCAATCATTCAAATGTTTAAAAAGTTATGTTTTACCAATTTGGTAGCTGACATACAGTATTTTTTAATTTTACTTTCTTCCTTGCCCTAACTTAATGGGATTGCTGGGTGCTGTTCTTGGTGCTGGGATATAGCGATGAACAAAAACTAAGTCCTTGCTCTCCTGTAACTTAACATTCGTGTGTGTGTGTGTGTGTGTGTGTGTGTGTGTGTGTGTGTGTGTCTGGAGAGAGCAGGGGCAGATAAACATGTATATCACACACAAAAAAATTGTGTCATGGGAAAAGAGGGCTGGGGTTAGTATAAGG